GCATCCAAAGGAAGTCTGGTAGTGCATGTGCATCCCTTGATGCATCATCTATACACATTTCGTCCAGGTAGGCCTTACATGGGATTGGACCTACTCAAAAACCATATCCTGGTCACTCATTTGGAAAATGTAGGTTAGATTCAGCATCCAAAGCAAGTCTGGTAGAGTGCATCTATAGATACATCATCCATCAAGCTAGCTCCAGGAAGGGCTAGAGGATACACTGGAAAATACCTGCTCCAAAACTTTAACCTGGTCATTCATCTAGAAAATGTAGGTCAAATCCTGCATCCTAAGCAAACTGGAAGTATGCATTCCTTAATACATCATCCATTACTAAGGTTAGTCCTGGAAGACCTTAAGGTTTTTGGTAATGGACCAGCTTCTAAAACTTTAACCTGGTCACTCACTCAGAGAATGAAGATCAGATCCAGCAGCTGAAGCAAGTCTGCTAGTGTACATCCCTAGATTTAGCATCCATGTATGTTTGGTCTTGGTAGAGCTTGAAGATAAACTGGATTAAACCTACTCCAAAAACATTAATCTGGTCACTCAACCATACAAGAGGACAATGGGCCACAATGCTCACCTGACTGACTATGGCCCTGCTGTTCTTCATCCACACTTTCCCTTATATATTCCTAGGTAAAACTCTGATCACATGTTGTGGCCCCACACAACCTCCAAAGTCATGATTTGAATAAACTTGAATCTACACTACCTGCAGAAGTTTCAATACAGATATGACTAATCATGGTTTTATTATTCTTGAGAAGAAGATCTTGAAAGATCTTTCCTATATATTCTTATAATTTCCCATTGTGGCCCCACCCTATCCCAGGGGGTCATGATTTGAACAAACTTGAATCTACATTATCTGAGGATGTTTCCATATAATTATGACTAACCATGGTTAGTGGTTATTGAGAAGAAGATTTTTAAAATATGCCATTAAATTCTCACTAATTCTTAATTATCTCCCCTTGAAAAGGTGTGGCCCTTCATTAGAACAAACTTGAATCTTCTTTCAATGATGCTTTGTGGTGAATTAGGTTGAATTTTGGCCCAGGGGGTTTCATCAAAGATGAAAATATGAGAAGTTTACGACGACAACCACAATGACAAGAGAAAACAGACAAATTGTGATAAGAAAAGCTTGAGCTTTTTGTTCAGGTGAGCTGAACAAGAGGCCCATGAGCCATAACTCTCATCTGAATGACTTTTTCCCTGCTATTTTTGGGAAGGTTTTTAAAAGATTTTTATATTACCATGAAAAATTGTGACCCCATCTTATAGTTCCACTCTAACTCTATGGGTCTCTAAATCCACTAAAAATGGGGATGCTTCAATATCAATATGACTAACAACAAGAGGCCCATGGGCCTTGAATCGCTCTTCTGATAAAGTGTATAACCTATACTTCTATTTGAAGCCTCGAAGTATCCTGTATATTTAGATAAACCCTTGAAATTCCAATTCACACTCTGAGAACCCAAGATGATTCTAAGCCAATTAGTACCTGAGAGTTGGTCATGGTGACCTACTTATCACTTGTCATTCTCTGAAGACCCATCAACTAAGTTTGATGATTCTAAGCCAATTAATACCTAAAATATTTTTTAAAATTATAACCATAAAATTTTATAAGTAGGTCAAAGTGACCTACTTTTCAATTGTTTTACTCCAAGGACCCAAGATGCAAAAGTTTGATGATTCTAAGCCAATTAGTACCTGTAATATTTAATTAAAGCCATAAATTTTCAAAAGTAGGTCACCGTGACCTACTTTTCAGTTGCTGTACTCCGAGGACCAAAGATACATCGACTGACAAAGTTTGATGATTCTAGCCAATAAGTACCCAAAATATTTAATTACAGCCATAAATTTTCAAAAGTAGGTCACGGTGACCTATTTTTCAGTCAACCTACTCTAAGGACCAAAGATGCATCAACTGACAAATTTTGACGACTCTAAGCCAAATAATTCCTGAAAATATTAAATACAGCCATAAAATTTCAAAAGTAGGTCACGGTGACCTACTTTTCAGTTGTTGTACTCCGAGGACCCAAGACGCATCAACTGACAAAGTTTAAAGATTCTAAGCCAATTAGTACCCGAAATATTTGACTAAAGCCATAAATTTTCATAAGTAGGTCACCGTGACCTACTTTTCAGTTGTTGTACTCCGAGGACCCATGACGCTTAAACTGACAAAGTTTTATGATTCTAAGCAAATTAGTACCCAAAATATTTTATTAAAGCCATAAATTTTCCGAAAGTATGTCATGGTGACCTACTTTTTAGTCGACCTACTCCGAAAACCCATGAGGCATCAACTGACAAAGTTTGATGATTCTAAGCCAATTAGTACCCGAAATATTTAATTAAAGCCATAAATTTTCAAAAGTAGGTCACGGTGACCTACTTTTTAGTCGACCTACTCTGAAGACCCAAGAGGCATCAACTGACAAAGTTTGACGATTCTAAGCCAATTAGTACCCGAAATATTTGTTTAACGCCATAAATTTTCAAAAGTAGGTCACTGTGACCTACTTTTTAGTCGACCTACTCCGAAGACCCAAGATGCATCAACTGACAAAGTTTGATGATTCTAAGCCAATTAGTACCTGAAATATTTAATTATAGTCATATAAATTGAAAAGTAGGTCACGGTGACCTACTTCTCAGTTGACCTTTTTTGAGGACCCAAGATGCATCAACTTACAAAATTTTATGATCATAGGACTTAAAATGTCCAAATTATGCCTCTAATACGCTTTGAAATCGAATGCCTGCAAAGTTCAAAAAGTAGGTCACTGTGACCTACTTTTTAATAAATATGTTTTATGGCCCCAAGATGCATCATCTTACAAGATTTAATGATTCTAAGCCTCCCCGTATTCGAATTAATGACCTTAATTGTTTTAAAAAAGATTAGCCATAAAATTCAAAAAGTAGGTCAAGGTGACCTACTTTTTAGTTGACGTACTTTGAGGACCCAAGATGCATCAACTGACAAAGTTTGATGATCATAGGCCTTAAATTCTTCAAAATATGCCTCTAAATCATTTTGAAAAAGAATGGCCGCAAAATTTAAAAAGTAGGTCACCGTGACCTACTTTTGAGTCAACATGATATGAGGTCCTTAGATGCACAAACTGACAAGATTTGATGGTCCTAGTCCTTATAGTAAGCAAAATATCAACATTTTAATAAAATGTAATTTTTGGTCAAATTTGAAGTGACCTTGAGACCACGCCCTTTGCCCCAGGGTAAATCCCCGTGCAAATTTTAATCTACAACATATCCTCATCCTTTTGTGTAAGTTTGGTGATAATCTGCCCAGTGGTTCTTGAGAAGAAGATTTTTTAGCAACCAGTACTTTTGTTTCTATTTTCCTAATTATCTCCCCTTGTTAAAGGGTCACAACCCCAGTTTTAGTATAAAAGGGAGCCCTTGGGCCAAGGATACCCTGTGACAAATTTGACAATAATTGGCCAAGGGGTTCTTGAGTTATGACCCATATTCTAAAAAGTTTACGCACACCGCACACCGCACAAATGGCCATAGCATTAGCTCTTTGAGCCTTTGGCTCAGAAGAGCTAAAAATGGGGATTCTTCAATATCAATATGACTAACAAAAATGGGGATGCTTCATTGTCAATATGATTAACATGGTCTTGCAGTTATTGAATAGAAAATTCTTTTCCTAGAAACTGTAATATACATGCATCATGTAATAAATTTGATCCCAATTTTAATCAGGCCCAGGTCCACAATCCACACAACTTGGGAATGTTCTTAAATGTATAGCTGTATTGTTGTTCTTGAGAAGATTTTTAAATTTTTTTTATATGATCCAACACATGTAAAAGTTTGATCTGCTATTGTAGCCCATCCTACCCCTGATGGCCATGATTTAAACAATCTAGCATTTACATAATATAAGGAAGCCTTCAAATAACTTTTCAGGTCCAGTTGAGCTAAAAAGACAAGACTGCAATTCTTTTAAATAATCTGTACAGTAAAACTCGTTTAGTGCGAACATGGATATAGCAATTTACAGACAAAGCGAAGGTTTTTGAAATCCCCAGCAATATTCAAAACAATTCCTTGGAAATTTTACGATATAACAAACTCGAATAAGGCAGCAAAATTACAGATAAAGCGAACTGATTTTGTAAATGAAATTTACTTCTTTTTTCAAATTTTGAAAGATCTCAATTTTTAGAATATTAAACTGACACTATTTTTGTAAGTACTCTAAATGTGAAATTCAATTCATCCAAAATTTTTTGAATTTCAAGGTAACTTTTGTATTTAATACTTCCCAAAATACATTTGGTAGTCATACTTTAGGGAAAAAAATTATACTGCGAGTTCGCTATATATACTTTAATAAATTCGTCATACGGATATAACAAATTATGGAAACAGTAGGGCTGTCACGAGTACCCGAAATAACCGAGAACCGCGGTCCAAGTTGTTCGGTTCGGTTCCGGTTCCATTTTTCCGGATTTCGGTTCGGGTCTGGTTTATATATTAGAGTCTGTTCAATACAAAAAATGGCGTCGAAATCAAAGGAATGATGACGATAACAGTGATTAATAAACATCACAACTGAAATTTACTTCATTCCATGACAAAACACTTGTCACGGAAGTGTTAGATAATTATCAAAACGAGCAGGAATGGTCAATCTGTGACTAATAGTAGGCCAAGTCACCGATGTCTAGACGTTCGCATGGTTAAGACTTGTTTTCAATGTAAATTTAATGTAACAAATAAAGATTTTTCAAGTTAAATTCATGAAATTAAGGTTTAAAATAGATGTAAATACCCGACCCGAAAAACCCGAAACCGAACCGAAAATTTACAGACCCGACCCAACCCGAAAAATTTTGGAACCGTGACAGCCCTAGGAAACAGTGACGTGATTTTGCAGGTCCCCAAGACTTTGCTATCACTGAGTTTTACTGTATAAGATGATCTTCATATACCTGCAAACTTGGGGTTCTTTTCATCCATTGACCAGAATGAGTTGTCAAATGCAAAAGACTGAAACAGAGCAAAGACATTCATTTAACCATTCTGAATTATATAAGGCAAGAAAAATTAAAGACTTGTCTTTGTACAATTTAAATAAAACAAAAAAAAATACAGTATGTCTGTTGTAAAAACTTATAACTGCTTTTATCAGTGCATAACACGAAAGCATGAACAGGTATTTCTATTTCAAAGTTAAAAATGTGAATCACCAATGCAAAAAAACTTTTAAGATTTAGGCCAACTTTAAAAAATTGTTTGGTTGCCCTCTCCCGACCGACTGGCTAAAAATGGCCCGACTCAAAACTTTAAAATATTTAACCTCCAGGAAACAACAAATTTTTTTATGCATTTCAGAAAATAGATTTTGAATATTCAGCATTGATGTTGAAATTTTCTGGAAAAAATTTTTCACACCTACTTACCGACCCAATATTTTCATCCTGAGTCGGGAGAGGGCAATCAATCATTATTCTGAAGTTGGCCTGATATAAAGAATTATAAAATTTGTAAAATATCTTGGTTCACTGACCTTAGGTTGTTTTCTACTAGCTTTCCTGTCAACACTGCCATCTGCTGGGCTGAAAAATTCAAATAAATTTTTCTCAGTTATTAAAAAGAAGAAATCTCTACATAAAATTAATTAAGTGTAGTAGAGTCCACGCTCTAACACCACAATATTTGACCCGGGGCCATGAATTTCACAATTTTGGAAGAGGAACCCAATTGCTTATCATAATCATTTACTTCGTTTATCTGTTAAGTATAAAAGGCAACAGAAGAATATTTTTTTAAAAATTTTCACTGTAGGATCAATAGAACCAAACCCTAACACCAAAACATCTGAACCTGGGGTGACCAATTTAACATTGTAAATGAAATATCAAAGTCACTTTTGGATCTTATTTCATTGTCTGAATTAAACAGGGTCCGAATTAACCTGACACTTCTGGAAATAAACAAACATTAATGCAGAGAGGACAGGACTAGTACTTTATACCCCTAATGATATATATATATTATGATATATACTTAGTAGTAAATACACCGATTCCGCACCATGCGATACGGGTGACGTCACAATACCCCATATCAAGGACCGGTCCGAAATCCATATCAAACCAAAAGTAACGTTTGTATAAAGTTTAAAAGTCAACATAGGGCTCATAGTTACATTAGAATGAACCTGCTTCACCTGGTACTCATCCAGAAAATGTAGGTCAGATCCAGCAACTGAAGCAAGCCTGGTAGTGTGCATCCTTAGATGTATCATCCATGCAAGTTTGGTCAATTTAGGGCTTATATTTACTTGGAAATGAGACCTGCTCCTAAAACTTTAACCTGCTACAAAAACATTAACCTTGCCATTCTTTAGCTGAAACTGCAGCATCTGAAACCTTGACTGGTTTGATGAAACATACAGTGATACTAGAAGCATCTTCCATGCATCTCTGATTAATATAGGGCATAGAAGTACATAAAAAGAAATCTGCTCCAAAAACTTTTATCTAGCCATGGACACCAGCGCTGAAGGTATTACATAACCTTATTACATAAGCTTCCCTCAACTTAGTTGAGGTGAGCTAAAAACTTTTGACCTGAAATTAAATTGGAAATCTGCTTAATCAAGGCCAATCTTTGTATAGAGATTAAATACTATCAGGCAAATGGTTCTCAATTACTGGTCAGAATTCATTGCTCTACTGACAAACAACAGATGCAAAGAGCAAGGGTTCACTTAGAGCCTTTTTTTTTGGCCCTGTGAATTTGTGAAAAATCAAAACTGCTTAGTTTTAGTTGACAGTGCATTAAATATTACTTATACCCTTGGTGACGGCATACCTCTCAAAATGACATAATTTTCTCGCTAGTCAATACATTATGACATCATGAATTGCACCATTATTCACATATCTTGAAAATTTCTTCAAAAATATTTTTTTAATATTTTGTATAGAGCTCAGTAAGGGTGCAACGATACACTAACCTCACGATACGATATGTATCACGGTATTCAGTTCACGATACGATACGTATCACAATACATGACAAGGTTAAAAAAGTTCTTCAAGTTTGTATCATATTTTTTTTAAAACTTGACAGGGTTATATAAAATGTTCATATTTTTTAATAATTAAAATAAAATTTTGTTAACTTGAATTGGATTAGTAGGTAGATCTTTGAGTTTTGACAATTTTCTATACCAATGATGAACATTTACAGGGAACTACGGGGACCTTTCCTAATAATCTTCCTTTTAAATTGGAATGAAAAAGGAAGACATTCATTCTTTTATTCCTTTTATTTACGTAGAAAACCAGTTGTCATATTCCTCGTGTTAACACGTTTTAGTCAACAAGACAGTGAATTTTCATCGAAATACACACGTGATGAAATATCGTGTATCACCAAAGAATACGTTTAGATCTAAAGGGTTTATCATTTGTCTTAACATCTATAACTTATAATCACATTAAGTCCTTCTCGGTGTTTAAACTGAGGTCTGTAAGATGCTGGAGATGAGTTTAATTTCCATTAATGCGTTATCGACGACCTCACGTTTTGGGCGGAAGCCATTTTGAAATTGTAAAAAAGGAAACAAAACGGACGATTCGGATAATTCTGGACCGATTGAACCGAACCGCGATATCAGTTTAGCGTATCGTGAATTGAACCATGGAAAAATATACCGCGATATACCGTCAAACGGTTTATCGTTGCACCCTTAGAGCTCAGGCTCAGGTTAAAATTTTGAAATTATATAATGATAGATCTATTTCTGAAGATAATAAAATATGTTTTTTTTTTTTTTTTTTGATCAAAGGGTGTGCTACAGTAAAACTCGGTTATAGCAAAGTCCTGGGGACCTTTGAATTTACTTCACTATATCCGTAATTCATTATATCCGTAAAACAAATTCGTGAAATTTTTATAACGAATTCGCAATACACACAGTTTCCTTTATGTATGACTACTGAATATATTCAAGGAAGCATTAAATCGAGAGAAAAATATCTTGGAGAACCTAATATATTTTAGATGAATTTAATTTTAAACATAAATACTAATGAAAAATAACGTCATTTTAGAACTTTAAAGAGCTAGGTTCACTTTGTGCTTAAAATGGCCCTGTAGATATACCAATTTATTGACTATCACTCTATGTTCCATTTCAAACATCAAGATAAAGTAGAAACTTAGTGCTTTCATTTCCTATTAAAAAAGTTTCCTCTTAAAGTCCAGGTACTGGTTTACAGGCTCCATGAAATTGTAATGTACTTGAATTTTAAAGAAAACAGGTTTATTTGAGTACTTTCAGTGAAGAATAAAAATATAAACACACTCCTCGATCCAAAAAATATGTTTTGTATTCTTCAGAAACAGTTCTATGACTAAATAATTGCATATTTTAGATCAGAGGTTGCGCTCGATATGTAATATTGAAAAATAGCTTAACAGAGTGGCCGATTTTGTAGAATTTCTCAGGATATGGTAGAAATGACACAATTCATTGACTTGCTAGAAATTACGTCATTTTTTAATAGATACATAGACACCAAGAGTCTAAATAATATTTAACTAAAACTAAGCAGTTTCACTTTTTCAGAACTTCACAGGGCCAAAAAAGGCCCTAAGTGAACCTTGTTCTTTTGATTTTAAAAATTTGTCATAATAGATGTATATTGCATTATTTTTAACTTCTATGGGATACAAAATCAATTCGATATATCCGTAAATTCGTTAAATCCGTGTTCGCTATAACCATAAAATTTCACAAGGATTTGTTAAGAATTTTGCTGGGGATCTCAAAAATCTTCATAATTATCCTTAGATTTGCTATACCCGTGTTCAAGTTTTACTGTAATAATTTAATTCTTTGCTGAAGGAACTCAAAATACTTCGTGACTCTAGAGCAAATGCTCCAACCACTGCACCATGCAGGTGACAAAACAAACAATTAAGTCATTGAATCTAAAAATATGCAAAACATAAAGTTTTCTGTCAAAATATTCTTCAAATTCATCACGTAATCATTTTCCATATATAATTTTTTGTGGTTTAATGCAACCTCAGAAATTAAAAACAACCTTTCAGAGATCAAAGAGCAAAATTTTCCAACTGCAGAAAATACCCCTCATACAGAATGCCATAATTCTTTGATGTCAGGTCCATATTTTAAAATCTCTTAAAATTTGAATAAAATGAATAATGCTTGGTCATCTCTGTTCTCTCAGCACGTTAAAAAGACTTCACTGTGGAAACTACATATACAGTTAATCATTGATTTTCTCGTAAATTTGCAAGATCAAAAGATGTTAAAGAACTTTTCACTTGAAATGGAAACCATTAACTCATATAGATTTTTGAAATAAATTCCCTAGAAAATTGAGTTGCTAGCAGCAATGTCAGCTTACTGTATGACTTTGCAAGGTATTTACAGTCTCAGATGAGAATGATTGCATAATAGCACATTCTCTAGAATATAGGTACCAAGTGTAGGGTAACAAAAATAAATATGGTGTCCAATGAAACAAATTTTTTTTTGATAGCTTATTTTTGAGCCTACAGTTTTCTGCTCCAATATCCATTGATGTCTTTTCCCAAGCATAATTTTATTTTTGTAATTGTTAATAATCAGTAAGTTTATACTGTTCCTTAATGTATCAAATTTCAGATTATTGAGCATTTAAATGATGGCCTTAATGCCTCACACTGAAACACTAAACTGAGGACTAACAGAATTGACATGTGAAACAAACGAAGAACGAGATTTCTTGATATTTTGCCTTGTAAATTATGACAATATACTCCTAACAACATAAGAAACTAAGGGGAGAGAATATAATCCCCCTAAAAAGAGTTTTCTCAAAAATCTTGACCTTTTAGCTTCTTTGGTTCAATCACTGCACTCGCCCGCGTGGCATAGTGGTTAGAACGTCAGCTCTAGAGTTGCAGAGTAAGGAGTTGATCCTTACGTCGCGGGTTCAAATCCCACTGTGGGACGTGGAGACCAGTCCTTCGGATGAGACCGTATAAACCGAGGTCATGTGTCGCAGTAGGTGCTGGCACAAAAAAGATCCCTCACTGCTCAATGGCCCTGAGTGCCGAGGTCAAAAATTGCAGCTCTCTACCGACAAGTGGTGGCATCTCCATATGAGTGAAAAATTCTCGAAACGGACGTAAAACAATAAAACAAACAAACATCAATCACTGCATATACTTTTTACTCATCGGCACTGAGCCATACCAAATATATACTCCAGACAAGGATTTTAAACATAGGTGAGCTTCTATCATGAATCCTTCCTATTTTAAATAATAGTCTGCTTTGACCTTAACCTTTTGACTTATAAGCTTAGTTGAAGATCTTGCACACACTGAACTAAAGAAAACTCTTTGGTGGAAGTATGATCTATATTAGACAAATGGGAGAGAAAATAAGCTTTTAAACAGAGAATGAAATACGCTTTGGTCTTGATTTTTGAAATACGTCTTTGGGTTTAGTATGAACAAGTCTCCTCATGAGGAGAAAAATTAATGCCCAAGACAAGGGCTTCACACAGAGATTTTTTTTTTATCT